AGGCATCCCGAACTATACAAGACTCCGAACACTCGCTGGTCAATTCAATCTTAATATACTACCAACCCCGCCTACCTGGATATCCAAACGGTCCAAAGATCAGAGACCCACCCGAACCCTCGACCGTATACTAACAAATACTACCACTAAGCCTACCGATACTGAAGTACTACTTGACTGGGAGAATGCCCCCGCAGACCATGCAATACTAACTTACAAATGGAACATACACTCGATTGGTTATGACCAAGGACGACCTAAGAACGCGCACTTTGCCAGGTATGATGGCAAACGCGACTACAGCGAACCGACCACCCAAGCCTGGAACAAGCTCAGGGAGCAGCTCAAAACCCACTTTCGCAAATGGTCTTTACAGACGCCCAGGCAACACGATGCAAACCGAAGACTCTGGGAGCTCTACAAGAGACAGATGGGCAATCAAGGGCTAACGCTCGTCGATACCAACGGCGACGACTTGGAACCAGAGCAGGCCAGACGACAACTAAGACAAATGCTACACGATAGATGGAGCAAAGCCGATACTGCACGAATACCACCAAAGAGGGAATCGAGGGTCTACCTCGACCAACCCCCCCATACCGAGGAGATCGTTGCCGCCATTAAAGCTATTAACAAGAAAGCCGCCACTGGACTTGACGGAATACCTGCAAAGCATGTCCACCATATACCGACTGACGATCTTGAACAATTCATCCACCTAGTGTGGACGGATACACGGCTGCCACGCCAGTTGGTTGACATGAAGGTGAAGCCGATACCAAAACTACTACCACGGACCACTGTGGAGAATACCAGGCCCATTACCATACCATCGACTATAATGAAGATCATCAACCAAGTCATACTACAACACATTACACCATACATCGAACTACACCTACTGCCACAACAACACGCTTACCGAAGAGGAAAAGGAACTGGTACCGCGGTAACCGAACTCTTCGCTAAATTCAACAGACCTGGACAGACACTACTGCTGCTAGACTTGTCGAAGGCTTTCGACACCGTTGACCACACTGCCCTCTTCGCAGCCCTAAGAGCCACCAACATACCCAGCAAAGAGTACAACTTAATACGCGATCAATACATCGATGCTGAGGTACGAATACAGTGGGCCAAACGCTACACCACACCCTTCCCGTTGACGAACGGCATCAGGCAAGGATGCACTCTCAGCGCTACGCTATTTAATCTGGTAGAAGCTGAGAGAGAAAAGAAATGTCGACGCAAGATGCACACTATACCTTACGAAGTTATAATGTATGCGGACGATAAGGCGGTGATACTGGAGGACGACACCCACATACAGAGAATGCTAGACACCAATGCCCAAACTGCAAGCGAGTATGGAATGCTACAGAATAATAGTAAAACAGCACGACTGAAACTAGACAAGGACACCAAGGAGATACACACTGTTAAGTGGATGGGGATCCTGCTTGACAATAAGCTAAGCATGAACCAGGAGGTCGAAGCAAGGATAGAGAAGGCGAAGAAGGCAGCAAAAGACTATACTGAAGCTATCAGGAATATTCCATCTTCTATGATCAATGCCGCAGTCAAGGTACGAGGAGCATGTACGATTATACTACCGCACCTTGTCTATCTGTGGAGGGAGATTCCCTTCACGCCAACTCAGAGAAACACCCTAACTGACACAGCCACACAATTACTCGCAAAGGTTTTCAGCAACACCAGTGGTGTGACTGCCACTGCCATACAACGACATGTACACGAAATAACTAAAGGACTAACACCAAGATTCAAAGAGATGGCGACCCTTGACCACCTGATGCCAAAGCAACTGACAGAAGATGTAGCTATAAATACTGAAGCACAACAAGACGGGGTCAAAGGAACTGACATCTTATATGCCCACTCCGACCTGAGGATAGATACCCTCCCTGACAAGGGCCCCACTGAATTAAAGACACGAATACCCAGACTACAGTTACCGAACCGAGACACAGAGACTAACTTCTTTAGCCCTAGAGAAGAACCGCACTATGAAGAAACCAGAGATGTCTTTACCACTGCACTGGAAACCTCACCACCCACACCAGGGTTTGGTCAGGACAAACACTACCCCAACTCCGAAACAATGGCACTGCGCCTCAATACTATCCAAGGGGTTGAGACTGTACAACTAACCTGCCCTTATTGTGGCATAACCAAAACCACCAAACAAGCCACCAGGGCACACTATACAACCACCCACCCTGGAATGTACAGACCACCGCCGGATGACCCTTGTTACTGTGCGGCGTGCAGGAGAGTCATGACTAAGACATACTTCCGAGATCACCGCTGTAGGAAACCACACAAGAATGAATTTGACTCTATAGAATGCCCAGGCTGCCAAAATCACTACGAGAACCCTGAACTGTCTGCACACATGATTCACTGTGTCCGATTGGAAGGGGTTCTAACCCCCTCTAAGCCGAACACGGGGGCTTTTGAATTTGCCAAGAAACTACGAGACCTGCTGAAACCGACAACTGCTAAGAAAGCAACCTCCCCAACCCAAATAACCATCCCAGGACAGACCATTGAACAGGCGAGACAGAGCCTGCGACCACATACGCCGAGGAAACCGGAACAAAGTAACGGAGACTTTAAGCGGATACCACCTATACCGAAAGCAAAAGACCACCCAGAAATCACCACCAAGGAGTTGGTGCAGGAAATGAGGACAAATACAGAAGAAGCTATAAGGACTGAGCAATCAACCTGCAGACAATGCAATAAGGAGTTGAAATCCAACCAAGCGTTAAGGCGACATGAAGCCTTATACCACCCAGGGACGACCAGGCCAAAAGGACTACCAGCACACTGTATCGGATGCAACGCTACTTTTAAGACTGCTACCACCTACGTTAAACACAAATGCCCAGGACCTCTTAACCAGGAACTAGCCGCGAAGAAATGCCCCCTCTGTGACTCGGAGCCAATAACTAACCCGGACTATTCGGTTCATCTACTGAGACATCAGGTTTTGAAGAATGACGGAACAACTACACCAAGGGATCTATATGATCCACAATAGACTAAAGTAGCAAACACTAACACTATTTTTACCACCACGAACGCCCGCCCCGGCTAACGGGAGTACAGCAAGCAAGTGTGCAATGCTAGAAGCAAACAGACTTTTCAACAACAAAACGATCTAAATACAAAGCCAGGAGATGGTAAACACACCAACGACCCACCTGACCACCGATCGGAACCAATACCGAAAGGTGCCACCATGTCGGTGGAGGGTAGTGAAGACCCGCAAACGGTATCAGGTGCCGGACAAGGGGAGTGGCACTCCCCTGCTAATGCTGAGGAACAGAGTCAACCCATGCCTGCAAGGAAACGAGGCCTTGCCCGCGTCCAGCCACTCACCATGACGGAGATAGGCATTAC